TAAAAATTAATATTAATTCATTTTTATAAGCATATTTTACTTATTCCTATGTGTACAAATGTTCAATAGAACATTTACATCTAGAAAAATGGAACAGGAACATTTACATTGTATGAGAGAGTGGAGTACGGTTCTGGATTAAAGACTCCTTTGATTAGGCATCTCTAGTCCTTGCTGGAACACCTCAGTTATATTTTTTTTTCTGAATTTCTATCTGGTTAAAAATGTCTATTTGTTGATTAGGTAATCAAAATTTTATCCTTCTCATTGAGAAATTGTTCATTAACAAGAGGTTTTCTTTAGTTTATTGGGTGAGGCTCTGTCTTGCTCTTCCACTTTCAATTGATTATAATCATTTTGCAGCCTCAGCTCCTTCCTTGGGTTTTTTGTGGTCCTCTCTACACAGAAAGGTACCAGTTTGACCCCTGGATCATACCAGGAAAGGCGGCAACAGGACTTTTTTTTTTATTATTGGTTGTTCAAAACATTACAAAGCTCTTGACATATCATATTTCATACTTTAGATTCAAGTGGGATATGAATTCCCATTTTTACCCCGTATACAGATTGCAGAATCACATCGGTTACACATCCACAGGTTTACATAATGCCATATTAGTAACTGGGCAACAGGACTTAGACCATTTATATATATAAAATGTATAAAAAATACAGTTTTTTAAAAATTAGCTTTTAATAGCAATCACTGAGAGACCCTAGAAAATAAGATGTTTCCTGTATTGATTGTCCACACTGGAAAGCTGCTAAGTGTTTAGATGTTAGAAAAGCAAGTCAAACCTCTGAGCCTGACATTCTTTTCTTGGTCATAAGCACACCATTCACACCACTCTGTAGTATGCGTGTGTTGGGGGAATTTTGCTTGAATACAACTTATGAGATTCAGACTATAAACTCCTCTTTCTCCTTTAGTTCTAGGCTGGTACTATATCCTTGCAAAGGCTTAGTCTGTTTATGGCACTACAGAAAACCATTAGGGGAGGGAGGAAGGCAGTGGCAAGGAAGGAACTTGATAATGTTAAGTGAGCTGATCAGAAGATGAAGGACCATCTTGTCCTAAAGAACCATCCTCCCACAAGGCTGATGTAGGGGTGCTTTATGTAGAAGATGGTAAGGACCTTCTCACATGTAGAGGTTTGCAGTCAAATGACACACATTGGATTCTTACTGTTGAGTCACAAGAAGCTTTTCAGTTCTGTAAATCATAAGAATAAAGTTTATTATGTCCGCAGGCTATTCTTATCACCAATGAGCTTGCCCACATGCAGTTTCTGACATTACACAATAGACAGGCTAGAGGGGCAGCTCCCATAGCCTCTTGCTGATCACCAGCTCACACTAATGCAAGAAAACATAATTTACCTGATTATCATGGAAGAGAATATCCAAGTGAAGTTAAGTCAGCCACAAGATCTGCTCTCAATGCTTGTCTTTAATATTTTCTATAATTGTGTTTTATCATTGTCATTAACATTTCCCACAAAGAGAAATTTCTCAGGCTAGACCTCATGGTAAATACTTGTTGTTCTTTCCTTGTTCTGCTATCAGCTAATTCTTGGCCTTTCCTTTTCAGTCCTACTGTAGTATAAACCTTTCTAAGTTGAAAACAGCTCTATGAAGAAACTTACAGGGCATTCCAGGTGTTAAGAGCTCCTCTAACCGACAGTAAATTTTGCAGCAACTGGAAATAACATTTTTTTAACCTATTTTTAGTTAAGAACGTCTTCCTATATCATAGCATAATTTAGGTTATAAGTGCTAAAGAAATACTAATTCACCCTATTCTAAGAAAAAAACCCAGATTATTATTTAAGAACAAATATATCCCCCAAAGGAACTGCCCTCTTTGAGTTGATCTACTCTTTTTATTTGTTCTTTTTAGTTACAACAATAGAGTATATATTGATATATTTATATAAACATGGAGTATAGCTTGTTCTAATTAGGATCCCAGTCTTGTGGTTGTACCTGATGTGGAGATTCGCTGTGGAGTACTCATATATATACATAGGATAGTTATGTCAGACTTTTAGTTGTACCCTATACTTTATTTTTCAACTTGTTATCTGAATATCTTACCTGCCCCCACCACTCTTTCTGAGGTTTTCTAAAAAACTAAAAGGAACTATTATTCTGGTTGGAAATTCAACTTCACATGAAAGGAGATTTATCAGGGATTTGAATGAGCAAAACTTTTATCCTTCCCTAAAGATTCCATGTTTATATACTCTTTACAAATATATATATATATATATACAAAAATATTATATATAATGCATATATATAATATATAATGCAAATATATATTATATATAAACAGGCATATTTCCTTGAGTTTGACTTTTATGTTTCCAATAAGCACTATTAAAAACTGAATATGAACGTCTTGAAATTTAATACAAAGGAAATTTGGCTCAAATCTGACCACTGAAGGATAATTTATTTAGCTGTGCAGGTTTTTAAAAATTTAGATAGGCATAAAAATAGGAAAATAAGAACTTAAATTATCACTATTTGCAGATGACATGATTCTTTACCTAGCAGACCCAAAAGGGTCTACAAAGAAACTATTAGAGCTAATAAATGAATTCAGCAAAGTGGCAGGATATAAGATCAACACGCATAAATCAAATGCATTCCTGTATATCAGCGACAAATCCT